TGGTTTTCGGGTCTCTGCTGTGCATGTGTAGGGGGTGGGGTGCACGGGGGGGTCATGCGAACATGCACGGGGGGAAGGCACACATGGGGGTGCACGCTCATGTGCGGGGCGCACACAGGGTGTCACACGTTCATGCATAGGGGGCATGGCCCACGGGGGGAGTCACATACAGATTGCATTATGGCGCACACGCTTTCGGCACTTGGTGGCCATCAGGGTTTCCTGCCCGAGCGAGGAATTGGATTAGGTCTCTTCAAACTCTGTTAATTTGGAGTAGAAATGGACGAAACATTGGTTTAGTTACTCAATGAAGATACCAGCAAAAGGGCATAGAGAATGCTGAACTGTGGGACAATGCCAGGGTTCTAACCTGGAAGAATCTTCAAAGGTTAAACCTTTTTATGTGGAAGAGATCTTGACTTTAGATCCTGGAAATTCCAGAGAGGGATGAAAAAGCTGCTTGGACGACTGCAGAATTGTTGAGTTAGATCAAACAGAGGTACAGGTAGTTCTCAACTTTTATGACCACCATTGCGCCCAGAATTTCCATCGCTAAGCAAGATAGATGTTAAGTCACTGGCGCCCAATTTTACAACTCTTTTTTGCCACGGTTGCTAACTGAAACACTGCAGATGTTAAGTGAATCACATCATTGTTAAGTGAATTCAGCATTCCACATTGCTTGACTTTGCTTGTTGGAAGCTGGCTGGGAAGATTGCAAATGGTGATCATATGATCCTGGGACTCTGCAACCATCAGGAATACACCTAAATTTTAATCATGTCACCATGGGGATGCTAGGATGGTCTAAGTGTGAAGACCAGTCATAAATCAATTTTTTCAGTGCCGTTGTAATTTCAACCAGTTACTAAACTAATGGTTGTCATTCTAGGACTCTCTGTGGAAAACAGATTTCTGTTGACACCAAAAAACTAAATTGCTTAGTTTGCATAGCAAGCCAGATTAGGCTAAAAGAGGGTTAACTAAGTTACAGTGCTTTAAATTTTGGGGACCACAAACCACAAGGACGCCACAATGACAATGCACACAGTGATATTATCATTCAAACGCTATTGTCGCTTTTTTTGGTGCAACATCTGACACAACGACGCAAGTCACAATGATATAGCTTGATGATATAGCCGTGTGCATCTGGTCATCTCCCCACTCACCTGCCATTCTTTTTTTGGCCTCTCCCAAGGACGCAGGTGCTAAACTGCCTTCATCCAGGTTACAGAAGTATAGCTGGGAGCCATTATTGAAAGGCCAATAATTTCATTTTTTTTTAACATCGGAGAAGCTTAAGGAGATGCAGCTGCTTAAGATACCCATTTTACTTATTTCTTCCTGCTTGTTCCATTTTTGGAGTATAGCCTTGAACCAAGACAAATTCTGTGCTCCTCCTCTGAGCCATAAAATGGTTTGTTTGCATACAGCATTTGTATGAGCACGACAGCCAGGCTCAGTTCACCTGAATTTAGCTGGCTGCATGGACCCAGCAAATCAGAGCCCTAAGTATTAAAAACTTGGCTGAAAAATATGGCCTTCCAGAAGCATCTGAGGGGATGCAGTGGCTCAGTGGCTAAGACGCTGAGCTTGTCAATCAAAAGGTTGGCAGTTCAGCAGTTCGAATCCCTAGTGCCATGTAATGGGGTGCGCTCCCGTTACTTGTTCCAGCTTCTGCCAACCTAGCAGCTCAAAAGGACGTAAAAAATGCAAGTAGAAAAATAGGGAGCACCTTTGGTGGGAAGGTAACAGCGTTCCGTGCACCTTTGGCGTTTAGTCATATAACCACATAACCATGGAGACGTCTTCGGACAACGCTGGCTCTTCGGCTTTGGAACGGAGATGAGCACTGCCCCCTAGAGTCGGGAATGACTAGCACATATGTAATAATAATAATAATAATAATAATAATAATAATAATAATAATAATAATAATAATAATAATTAGTAATAGTAATAGATAATAATAATAATAATAATAATAATAATAATAATAATAATAATAATTTTATTTCTATACCGCCCTTCTCCCGAAGGACTCAGGGCAGTGTACAGCCTATTAAAAGCACAAAGACAGACATCAATTAAAAATAATTAAAATTATTAAATAATTTCGGCTCAGATTTAAAACCCCAAAAATTTAAAACACCCAATTTAAAATTATTACATTGATAGCCCGGCCGAACAGCAGGGTCTTGAGGGCACAGCGAAATACACGGAGGTCGGAGATCTTACGCATTTCCGGGGGCAGTTCATTCCACAGGACGGTTCATTCCATATGTGCAAGGGGAACTTTTACCTTTACCTTTTTAAGCATCTGAGTGCAATAAGAAATGACTGCCACAGTTTTTCTCAATCGCAGGAACTTTAAGATGTGTGGACTTCAATTCCCAGAATTCCCCAGCCAGCATGTCCACACTTCTTGAAGTTGGCAAGGTTGAGAAATTCTGGGCTAATGTAACAGGCTTTCTTTTAGAAGCCTTCCACTGCTGGGTACGTCCAATGCACACTTCCCAGTCCCTGGGTATGGTATATTGGCAGAAATCCTTGGGCTTGAGAAGTATAATGACCCATTAAAAGATAGGACTGTACTGTCAGATATATCCAGGATTCATACTATATGGTAAACCATAATGTGATTTGAAGCTATTTATCCTTACTCCTTAAACCTCGCAGTAGGGTTCATAAAATTTGTTTCTCCAATTCCCCACCCCACCCCCAGGGCGACTCTACAAGATAATGATTTGTTCAAGGCCAGTGGGTGCAAGCTCCATCTCACTTGGGCAACCTGGTAATTCTGATTTGCAAACTACGGTTTATGAGTTAGCCTACTTTGTGACCTAGGGAAGCTTATTCAATAAATCATTGTTGCAAACTATGGCTTGGCAGGCTGTATGAATGATTTAATGACATTTCAAAACATCTTTTGCAATGTAAGTTTATATAGGCAAAAAGAACATCCACACAACCACTAGATGGCAGCAAAGAGATACAAAAAAAGGGCCTCCATTTCTTGAAAGACTCTGTGCTGCCCTCTTAGGGCTTCAAGGAGATATGGTATGATAGCCCCATGCTAGTTCAGTTACTTCATAGAGGTTCATTTACACAACATGCTACAAAGAGAAAAACATTCTTTTCTGAGTCATAGGAGCCGAGAGTTGGACAGCATATAAATGTAATAAATTATTATGGATCAATGCAGAGTTAGCAAAGGTTTATACTGATTTGGCTTTTTTATCCATCCACTGAATCCTTCCACAAGAACCTGGAATTGGCAGATGTTGTTTGATGGTGTTGTAGCAGGATGTAAGCAGTTCCAGGTAAAGCTGCCTTTTGCAATTGACTGACGGTGATTTTGTCAATGCCGATGATGTTCAAGTACTCAAGTCAACTCAACCAAGTATTTGAGTTGCCTGGACTGCAAGAGGAGGCAGAAAAGGATTGGAAACGCAAGCAACGGTTGGGTGGTATCATTACCTCCCTCCTCCCAAGTTTGGATCGAGTGGGATTCAAACTTCGATGGCTACACCAGCCAACACTTCCTGCTGTTGCTATCCATAAATTCCAGGGATCTTAACAAATAGTCCAGAGAAAGAAAGAAGGCAGAGGGGGTGCCAGGCAAAGCAGAAGATTAGGGAAGCTGGAAGAAAGGGGAAGTCTGAAACTAGATGCCCCTGATGAAAATTAGTTGGCACTCTAAGAGGACCGGAAAAAGTCTGCTCGTTACCCAATCTCCAAAGCCAACGTTTGGGAGGGCAGCTCTTTGCACCAGCTAAAAGGAAGAAGTGCATGCAGTCATAAAGAGTCATTATAACGTAAGAAAACTACATTTCACTCCAAGGGGAATTTTATTGGTAGCTGGGTTTCCATTTGAGTGGGAGACTCCAGTTTCTGTGACTCTACTCATCTGTACTTCGTGAGAAAGGAAATACCATGGGAATAAGGCCTTTTAACCCGAAGATAAAATCATCAGCATCTACAGAAAAACAAGAGTTTGGTCTGGTTCTCCTGGAGAGGTGCTGGGGAACATGGGCCACTAGCTCCTGAGGTGTGAAACAGATTTTTTCATTGAATTCGGAGAATTTAAGCCTGAATTTCTCCAGCAAAAGATCTGAGATTTGAATAAAATCTGCCTGCTTGAAACTCCAATAGTTTAATGATGGAAGGAGGAGCTTTTAGGGAGGAAATAAAGGGAGATAGTAGGTATGTAGCAAGAATAATGGAAATCCTGCTCTTTAATATAGTTTCACAATTTTACCATCTAGAACACTGTTTCTCAATCTTGGCAGTTTCAAGATATGTAGATTTCAGCTTCCAGAATTCACCAGACAAATTAAGCTGGCTGGGGAATTCTGGGAGTTGAAGTCCACGCATGTCGACGTTGCTAAAATGTGAGCAACGCTGATTTAAAACAACTTTTAACCTACAGCTGTATATATGTACAAGAAAAGGAAAGCTAATAATTACATTTTTTCTAGTGTTCAAGTGTTGAATGGCCTTTGTGAAGAAATGTGTTCCTCTTGAAATGTTTAATAGGATTGCATTTATTCAAAATAGCTTGTTTCATCTTTTATCCCAGCCTTCTTCAAGCTCTGAGTATGGCGGGGGGGGGGAGGGCAACAAATCCTGGAATGCTTAGCCAATGGCGTCATTGATCATATTATCTAGGAATGTTGGGAGTTGTAGTCTTACATTTGGAGGTCACTTCGATAAGGAAGGCTGCATTAACCACTAGAGTAACAGACACAATGTGGTTTTCTTTTTTTTCCCTCCGCTTCTCTGCTTTTTGCATCATACCAAGCATCTGCCCAATGGTAATTTTGTTCAGTTTCCTTTTTCTGGTGAAATTGGAAGGCTGGAAAAAAGTCTCATCAACTTCAGCATGGCTCTCCATTAAAATATTTGGAGAAAGCCTCGTCAATTTCACTCATTCCCTGTAAAAGAAATATCTGTACCTACACACACAAACACACAAATCACCAGAACTGCTGCTCTTGAGGTCTCTGCAGCTCTTGTATTTATTTATAGACTGCCTTTATTATATATTTTTTGCAAATAAGGTAGTGAACATACACAACACACCTTCCTCCTTCTACTTTCCCCACACAATAACCCTGCGGAGGTGGATTGGACTGAGAGAATGTGACCGACCAGAGGTCACCCAGTGGCTTTCATGGCTAAAGCGGGACTTGAACTCACAGTCTCCTGCTTTCTAGTCTGATGCCTTAACTATTAGGCCAAACTGGCCCTTTCTGCATGATTGTGGAGAAATAATATAATTTTGTTAATCAATGGAATTAATGTTGCTACAAAGTGAGAATGAATAATACTAAATTCTACAAAGATCAAAACATATCAAAATTTAAGCCTGATTTGGATCACTATATACCAGTAGTGGGTTCCACTTACCTTCGCTACCAGTTCGGAACTGTGAGCGCGCGCACGGGGCGCTTCTACGCATGCGTCTGTGATGAACCGGTAGAAACCCACCACTGCTATATACCCATTCCTCACCTTTTAAAAATACAATTATCTAATGCTTTTATTTTGTTTTTAACCTATATAACCAGGAGAACGAGACACATGAATTTAAGATCATTTCATGCTTTATAAGTAAAGCCTCAATTCCTTTGGTTAAAAAAAGTATTCCAACCAATAAGATCGATTTGAAAAGAGAGCAAAAGGAATGCATGGCTATATACCCAATTTTTTAATCCTTCCTCTTTTTAAAATCTCTTGAGGTTTGGGCCTTCATCAAGAGTTGACTGCTGAATCGCATAATGCAATACCTGTTCCTCTGGCTTAACGTTGGTGTTCTCACACCACAGGATTGCTTCATATTATTCTTGAGATGCAATACCATTTGCTCCCCAGTGCTGGATTGTCCTTGCTAAGGCAAAAGCCACTCCTGCTTTCTTTAATTATACGTTTGGCTTCGATTGCTTCGTTTTTTGTCCTTTATTCTGGGAATGAGTCATGACTGTATGCAGGTAAATACGGGGACTCGGTGAGGGGAACCATGTATTTGGCTTCCGAGGTGGGCATCTTTTACTTAAACAGAGCCTCAACGTTCATGACGTCTAAGCTTGCTGTGGTCCTTCAGAAGACAATGAGAGCTCAAACTTGCCAAGGAATGTCAGGGCCACTCCAAGGACGCCATTGAAAGCACACGGTTTTCATGCCAGACCAAATGACGACACTTACAGCTGCAAAAGATACATGCGGGGGAAGGCTGGGGCGATCTTGGAGAGAAGACCAGTCGCTCCCCGATGCTCACGAGGAAGAGAGAAAACTCTCCATTCTGCTTTATCTCCGTGGGGCACTTTGGATTTCCTATGGGAATCCCTGCAGGAGGAGAGCTGTGTTAGTCAAGGCTAGGGTAACTCAAATTTCTTTTCAAACTATGAAACTTAGCAAAAGGCACACACACACACGTCAGGGAATTTCATACACAGCAGCTGTGCATCTGCCAAAGTGAACTGTAGTTCATGAAACTTTCTGCTTTTTAATAACAATTGCTAGCCTGGAAAGGGGTTATCACGCAAATCCTTCCAAGGACAATCAAATACTGTCTTGCTTTCCATGGGAGAATCTCCTTTTGAAAGGGTTCTGGGTTCCGTGTCATCTCCTGATCTCTGGGTCCCAAGAAGAAATGGAAGTCCCAGTATTCCTGATGCCTTTTGCTGAAGGAGCGACACACTGATAAATTCTAACAACATCTATAAGCGTCTTTACTCAATCCTGCCTCTTTTCCATAGCAGAAGGCTAAACGAAGTGCCCAGGAGTGGGAGGTGATTGGATGGGGAGCATATTAATTCAGGGTTCTAGAGGGCAAAACTAGTTAATCTGAAGCCCCAGAAAAATCCTTCCTTCCTCTCTCTTTATTCCTTTTTTCTTTTTCTTTCTTTTTTGCAGTGGCTCTTCTTCCCCATTTGCTACATCCACGTTTGACACAAAATTTATTTCTTACCTCATTTCTGCACTAACCGGCATAATCTTATGCTGGCTTGTTTTCAAATCTGCTGGTTATCAGAGGCATAACCGTAATTAGTCAAAAAAGCTATATATTCACACGACGACGGCCCCTGTATCCTAAAACCACCCAGCGAAATGTTAGCCTAAGATGTTGTGCAAAACCTCTGCCCACATAATTTATGGTTCAAGGTGTCACGAACATTGGGTTATGTCATGCCCGATGTTAATCATGGACAACCATGTCACGCAAAGACCAGATCTTGGGTTTCAGCTGCTTGGAGTGGGGTATCTGTCCACCCTCTTTTAAGCCTGGCACACTCACTCTCGTTGAAAACTTCTCTCCACCCAGAAACGATCGCCGAGAGATCTACTTTTGTGACCCGGAGCCGGAGCGCGGTTTGCTGCGCTCCCCGGGACTTCCTTGCGCTATAAAGGTTATTTTAGACTAGGGCAATCCTATTCTAATGTAAACCTCGTTGGGTGCGCTTGGGACACCCAACGAGGTGAAGGGGCGCCCGCCTTCTTCACAGGAGCGCAAATAAGCCCCTTCACCAAATCTTTCTCTTCCCAAACCAAAGAAACTTGGGAATGTGGAAGGCGGAGAGAATCTTCCGTCCGAGCCCGGATCACCCATTCTGGATTTGGGAAAACCCAGCTGGGGCTAAGGAGAAAGATCACACGCACGCCCAACTTTGCCCCGGCTGCAAAGACGCCCCTCCCCTCGTGGCGAGCCCGGGCCAACCAGCCCTGCTCCCACCTCCTCCTCCTCCTCCTCCTCCTCCTCCTCGAATCGCGCCGTGGTGTCGCCTTGTTATGAATGGCCAAGGCTCCGGGAGGCACAGACGCTCCGCTTACTTTGAGGTTGGAGCAGCAAGCGAGCCCTCTCCCAGCGCCGGAGCGCACAAGCAGCAAGCAGGCAGCCAGGCAGCCAGGCAGGCGGGCGGCGAGTGACCTCTTTCTTTCTCTCTCTCTCTCTCTCTGCTTGCGCTGCTCCGCCCCTATAAATAACTGAGCGCAAAGGAACTTTCCCAAGTCGAGAGACTTGAAGGAGGAGAAGGCTCGACACCTACCGCCAAATGGTCCGGAGGAACCAGCCGCGGCAAGAGCGCTCGACCGGCAGCGTCTAAGCAACCATTCGCGATTTTTAATTTTATTTTTAATTTTCTTTTTGGTGGGGGGAAGAAGGGGGCTCTTCCCCCCATTTCGGACGGGAGTTCCAGGAGCCAGGAAGGAAGGCAGGCAGGCAGGCAAGAGGACTTGCCGGCGGTCTCCTCGGTCGGCGCTTGCAAACGTTCCCCGCCCTCTCGCTCTGGAGGCATTGGAGGGGGGTGTCCGGTGGCCGAGGTTCCCCTTCGCCCCCCCCGCTCCCTCCCTTTTGCTTTCATGCAACGCCTGGTAGCCTGGGATCAGGCATGCCACCCCCTTCAGCCCGCGGCCTTTAAATCCATGGAAGTGGCCAATTTCTATTACGAGGCGGACTGTCTGGCTGCTCTGAACAAGCTGCACCCTCGGGCGGCGGGGGCCCGCTCCATGACCGAGCTCACCGTGGGGGATCACGAGAGAGCCATCGACTTCAGCCCTTACCTGGACCCTTTAGCATCGCAGCAGCAACAGCCGCCGCCGCCGCCACAGCAGCAGCAGCATCCGCCGCCTCCTTCCACGGCAGCAGGGGGCAACTTTGAGCCTGTTTGCAGCAGCGGCGGCGGCGGCGGCGGGAGCGGCGGCCAAGATTTCCTCTCCGATCTCTTCTCCGAGCAGGACTATAAAGGCGGCGGGAAGAAACACCCCGACTACGCTTACATCAGCCTAAGCAGACACAGCCACCACCCGGGCGTCGGACAGAACCACAAAGCCGGGCCGCTGCTGGGTTGTTTCCCGCCGCAGATGGTAGAGACCAAAGTGGAGCCGGTCTTCGAGCACTTGGATTCTTGCAAAGGGGCCCGCAAGGAAGAAGGCGGCGGCGGCGGCGGCGGAGGAGGAGGAGGAGCAGGGCCCGGCCTGGGGGGAATGTCCTCGCCTTACGGCAGCACCGTCCGCTCCTATTTGGGCTACCAGTCCGTGCCGAGCGGGAGCAGCGGGAACCTCTCCACCTCTTCGTCTTCCAGCCCGCCCGGCACCCCGAACCCATCCGATTCCTCGAAATCCGCCTCGGTCGGAGGAGGAAGTGGCGGCGGCGTTTACCCGGCAGGCCCCGGAGGAGGAGGCGGCGGCGGCGGCGGCAAGAACAAGTCCAAGAAGTCGGTGGACAAACACAGCGAGGAGTACAAGATCCGCCGCGAGAGGAACAACATCGCCGTGCGCAAGAGCCGCGACAAAGCCAAGATGCGCAACCTGGAGACGCAGCACAAAGTGTTGGAACTGACGGCCGAGAACGAGCGGCTCCAGAAGAAAGTCGAGCAGCTGTCCCGGGAACTCAGCACCCTCAGGAACTTGTTCAAACAGCTGCCCGAGCCGCTTTTGGCCTCCTCCGGACATTGCTAGCCTTTCCCCCCCCTCCCCGTTGACCCCCCCCCCACCGAACAGCTGGACGCCGCTGGAAACAACTGCTGTGGTTTGGGAAGGCGGAGGGTTGGGGGAGGCTTCCGGGAAGGAACGAAGCGGGGTGTGCGCGTGTGTTGTGTGTGTGAAGGGGGGGGGGGTTTGAATCTGGTGGGTGCATCTGCCCGTCTTTTCAGGACTAGCACGGGTCGGAGGGGAGGGGTGGAAAGAGAAAGTCCCGAGAGGGTTTTGCATAAATATATATATATATAATATAAATTATATTTTTGGCCTTTAATTCGCGCTCTGATGATGGGAGAACCCTTCCGCCCTACGCTTCTTGCAGTACGACTCCTTCGGCTGGCGGAGGGAGTTCTCTGGCCGGTTTCTATTGATCTCTGCGCGATTTCATGGAGGAATCCATAGTTTTTCAACTTCATTATTTTTTTCTAAGAAAAAAAAAAAAGCCGATACCAAACTCAAGATAAGCCATTTAATATCCAATATGATTGTTCTTTGCAAAGGGGTTTTTTTTGGGGGGGGGAGTTTGAGTGCTTAGTGTTATTTAAATTAAACAAATATATATAACGTAAAGGAGAGAAGAAGAGTTCAGAATGATGCAATCTTTTAAACATGGCTGGGAACACCAGCTTATACATGATGCAACCTCATGTAACTGTCAGTCATGGATTGAGTAATCTGTTAAAGATGTTCCTACTGGTTTTTTTTTTTTTTATTATAGAGAATGATCTATTTCTATAAGGAAAAAAAAGACGTATGTATATTTTGGGATCTATGCATTCTTGCTACATATGAAGCATTAATGAACAATTTTAATAAAACTTTATTGCTAGGATGGAAAATGAGTTTGTTATTTGTAAGGTGCTGACACATCCCTAATATTGTACCTGCTTTTCCTTTGCAGGAGTTGGGAGGGGGGAAATCTGGAGTCAGTAATATAAGTAGGAGTTATCCCATCAGTGTAAAGAAAGGGAGATTTCTTCCCAAGCCTTTGGTTTTGAGGGTGTTTTAATAAAATCAAATGAGATGGTTAGAAAAGAATTGGAGCAAAAACCGCTCTTAACTGCTCTGTTTCTCTAATTATTAACTTGTTTATGGATCTGAGTGTCACTACAAATCGGGGTTAGATTGGAAAGCAGTATAAATTTGTGATGCAAAAGATAATGTGCCTTCAACCTGTCATTTATCTATTGTGCCTGATGGAGAGAGAATACATTTCATCTGTGCAGCTTACTAAAATGGGGGAATATTTAGATAATTATAATTTTAGAAAGCATACAAATACATTTCATCTAATGTGAGTTTTTCTTTATAATAAATCTACATGCAAAAAAAAAAAAAATGGAAGAAACTTTTGTAGCTTCTAAGTTTTTCTAAAAAGTCCATAGCATAGGAATTTCAGAAAGCAGGTAGAATGTGGGATCGGATTAAGACTCACCGTTATTTGGTTTGAATAAATTCATTCTGCTTTATTCTCAGATCTTTCAGCTTTTAAAGAACAGATGTTATGCTTCTAGGGGTTCACGTAATTTGCTTATTAAAAGTCCTGAAAAACTGGAGTAATGCCCTTCCCTTTAGGATAAACTATCGCACAAAGATGTTGCAGCACAAATATGATCCATGTCTTCCAGCCTAGCATTTGCTGTTTGCTGTATTAAATCAGATGCAAATTGTGTTAATTGCAGCTACAAAGCAAAAGCAATTAACGTCACCCTTTGGCTCTTTCCAGATTTTCAATGTTGCCTTAACACACCTGTACTACTGCTGCTCCCTTTCCCATTATTCTTTTATTGCTAATGGTTCATGGGTTCTACTGCAGTTAGTGTTGAGGAGATTGCATGTGTGAATGGAGGCTAGTGAACTTATGGTGAAGGCAGTTGTGAATGTGCTCCTGATGATAGCTTGAAGGGTTTCGCTGGAATCTGGACATTCCTGGCCATCTGTAGTTTACATATTGCATTTATGTCACTTGTAAAATGTTAACAGAGCCTGGAATTCATTGTACGTGTATGTGTATCTTGGAGGCCTAGATAAAGAAGTTGAACTTACTCAGCATTTTCTCATATACTAAGTTTTTATAAGTACTTCTAGACTTTTCTTGGGAGAGCAAGTGGTTAAAACATCAGAATAGAAACGGGGAGATTGAATTCTAGTGTCGCTTGGGCACAAAATCAGTTGGGTGACCTTGGGCCAGTCCCTTTCTCTTAACCCTAGAAAGGAGGCAATGGCAAACTTCTTCCGAAAACCTTGTCAAGAAAACTGCAGGGACTTGTTCAAGCAGTGTCTGAAGAATCGTGCCGGACTAAGGGAAGAAAAAAGATTTGCAAACTCAAGTAGAGTGGACAGAAATCTTTTAACCTTTCTTTTTAAGCCCAATAGCCTTCTTGTAAAAAAGAACAAGGAGCACCTTTGAATACATTTCTTCCTGATATTACTATGTTTTAATTAGCAACAGGTAATGGCCTTACGGAGGAATCGAGTTCAGCTTTTACCTACTACGGTTTTAAGGACCCTCCCTAAATCAATCTCTGCAATCTCCATAGCCTTTTTTCCAGGAATCTCGGATAGGCCTAGGTAAGATAGTTTATATTTCTTTTGCTGATCGATGTGACATTTTCTAAGGAGTATATAAAAATGTGCAGGGATTTCTCCACTCATCATGTAGGTTGAGAGCAGGTTACTGCAAAAAACAGGAAAATACATTTCTATAGACTAATTAATCCCCTTTCAAAGTACCATGAAATATTTTCCCTTGAACCTGAGCTGGAGTACTTTTATTCAGTTCAGTTGCTGTTCCTCTTTAGACTTTGATTCTGAGAAGTAATTGGCATTCATTAAGCCTCATTGAAACTTACTAGACAACAGAATGAAGACACAGGGTTGGTTTTGTGACAACAAAATACAGTTCAACAGAACTAACTCCAATAAGTAGGATCTTAGGCTCAATCTGATAATTGAAAAAAAAATCCAAAGCCTATGTTGTGCATGTAAAATACACTCTGAATGCATAATTTTATAAACCTTAAATAACTTTGCATCAAGCACTTTGGTTTCTGTTAGTTGCAAAAATTTTTCCTCTGTTTTGAAACTTTTCATTTTCATCTTTGTCTTCAGATATTGATTTCCTAGAAACAGAACACAGCCACAAACCAAGAAGAGGCTGACTAGTTCATTCTGCCCAGCAGGGTTTTAAGACCAGTATTTCTTGAATAGCAACT